ATTAGAAGGGGGGGTCGTAATTTTCAGAAAATGATCACAACGCGATGGCGCGCCCTGGTTGGAAGTCAGTAGGTGGGAACCGCTAATTGCAACCCGACACGTCGCGGTGATATAAACTGTACTTTCAGGCCCTTATGAACGACAATGATATTCAAACGCATACGTAAAGAAAAATTCCATCACATAAAGCCTGTTCGGCATGAAAAAGAAAATAGTGACTGAAAACGAATACGCATACATCTAGGAAAACGAGCGCAGTCGAGACATAGTTTGCGGCACGCCTGAATATAGCCTTGAGCCTACTGAGTCCGTAATGCTAGTAAGGAAATCACAATATTCGAGACAAATCATGACAAATTTTGCGTCTCTCAAAAAACTACACCTTCGGATGCTCTTAGCTGCGTCGGTTTCGAGCGCTTTTTCAGACATCAGGATCTGTTTAAAATGGTGTTCGGCAGGAAGACCTTACCATATCTAGGCCAGATTTCGATACCTGCTGTGAATATTGCTCTCAAAAATGTTCATATTGCAATATCACCAAGGTAACTCTCTTCTTATGGTTTGCCATACAGCTTAGCTAGTGAAAATGTATCTGCAAATCAATAAATAGCACAAATGAAACTGTGAAATGATCGGAGGCAGAGGAGATTTCTTCACGTACATCTTTAAATCCAACACAAGTATGACCATAAGCATGTTTTCACATAAATAAGTAGAAATTACGGCACGTTTGTGCCGCCTCCAATAGCGAGAAAAAGGGAAATTATTGAATAAACAACGGTACCAAACTCACATCATGTTACATTTATCCCCACATTTCTTCGGTACGACCAAATTTGTACACACAAGATGAAGCAAAAATTATGAAATTCGTAAGGAAAAGAGCCACTCCTGGCCACACAGGATGATCTCCGGTGAGAAGTACATAGTCGCTAAAAAGCACCCAAGTGGCTGCCACCAGTGACGCGAACGAGAGCACGAACGCTGCCATTAACCAAAGGCGCGAACCTGTCAACAACATAAGTTATCTGTTCCCATTCAACAAAGATGGAGGAAATCCAAACACTAACCCTTCGTTCCTAAAAGTCCTTCGTGAAGACTTTCACCTCGCACTTGACTATTGGATACTGCATTCACCATAAACATCGCGACAGTACTTCCTACAGTTATTATGTAGTATACATTATTCCAATCAGCCTGAAACATTGGAAAAAACTTTCAAGACTGACAATAATATCAAATTATGACAAGAGTGCTGACTTATGGGCAAAATTCGGACTCAAGGCGGAACTTGGGCCCTTATCTGCCGCTGGTCGGGCGAGTGCGCTATCCATTATGCCACCGGGGGCTCACGGGTTTGGGTGTTTTCGGGAGTCTGATTTCTGCCCATAACTCAGCATCCATGCGATAACTTCTGAGTGTGAACTGCAGCATTAAAGGCAGTTGGCATGACAAATCCCTAGGACGAGTAGGATCAACACGGCTAGCAGGACACAATTCCGCGAGTAGGCGCTGCGTAGCGCCTTTCCCAGGGAATGTACCCTTAAAAGGCCCTATCAAGCAGCACCATACCGATCCGCCCGCTGCGCCAGCCCGCCCACAAATAGACGACCATACTTTATGCTCGCATTGCTCCATTTGTGAATTGCAATATGAAGCGAAGGGATTGATATGAAGCGGCTACG